TGTGTGCTCCAGTTCAATTCCATAAAATCTGTTAATGCTGACCAATGTAATTCTTTAAGGAAGTTACTTAAAAATCCTCTGTGCACAAATTAAATTCACTTTCTTGGGTTTTAGCCATCATTTTACTGTGTTCTTAGCGATCATAATTGGAATAACCTCACGTTTCCCGCACATCAAACTTTTCTTAAAAAGTTATCCTTCCAATGGTGTGACTTTCACTTCTGTATGAAATTTAAATCGGGGCCCGCAGTGGCCGCTGGGACCGTGGGTTCGAATCCCACTCAAGCCATGGATGTTGTGTCGTGCTGGCCTTGAGAAGGGCCGATCCCTCGTCCAGGGTGTCCTACCAAAATCTCTATAGATCAAGCCAGTGCTCAGGCACTTGAAGACCGGATCGTTCCCAGTATGGCATTTAGATTTTGTTAATAAATATTTCAAAACTGCTCAGATAACTTGTGTGTTCAATCTGTACGACTCAGATAATGGATCACGTCTGACATAATGCTAGTAATGAGCTCTGTGTTAGTGCAAGCTAGGCATAAAGCTACGATTGTGATTGGACCCACGTATTATACAATTATTAGTAGTATTACTATTATTATTTTATAGACTTATAAAGCCTGTTTTATCAACTCTCATCCAAGGATCAGTCTCTCCACCATCATCATCATTATTAAAACAGAGATGTTTGAACACGAAATGTCTGCTAATTGCCTAGCAGTAATTAAATAAACAAGCGGTGAGTATGAAGATTTCTGTCTTCTGGGTTGTTGCGCTGTGCAGTCTGGTCGATGTTAACCGACGTTTCGGAGGTCATACTGCCTCCGTCATCAGGGCGATGAGTATGAAGATTTCCGTCTTCTGGGTTACAAGAAGGATGCTGCCATCTTGCAACAGAGTGCACAAGAGTCAAGAGGGTAATATACAGAAGGGAACCTCACAGTCACCCTGGCAATGGGAAGTAAGCACATGGATTTAGGGCCTGATCTCCACTGAGAGTTGAGCTGACACACAAGACATTCGCTCTGAAAAAATATCGTTCCAAAGTTAAAATAAATTATACACGTGCTGACCCAGTAGACCGGCAACAACACTACAATTTGTCTGAGAATCCACTCCTTACGAAAATACTTATAATATATGTATATATTTTATATATGTATATATTTCTTTATCACGATGTTCTTGCTGTAGACAATCATAATAGACTTCTTTATAAATAAACTTTCACTTGCCACGAACCCGTACAAAAGCCAGAAATTATATCGATTTCAATTCTTTTTTTTAAGTACATAGCTATTTAAGCGTAAGCCATATTTTGTAAAAATTTCACTAGCCTTCCTCCACCTATATCGCAAACAAACGAGAAAAATATGTCTCTGACTAAAGAGAAGGCACTTGGGGGAGTTCCTGCAAGGGCGTCCGTCAGGAGACGGCCCTCCTCTCCTGCACGAGCTGCCACAGGCGATGGATGTCGCTGAGCGAAAGGTTCGGTGATCCAAAGAGGAACACACCGACATCTGAACCGTTACTCCTGGATCCTACCAGGGCCTGGACCTGGTGAGAAGACAGCACCAGGGAACCGAGCGGGGTCTGAGTCAGGTTGGCACGTGCCACTAGGGTGCCTGTAACGTGAACATCGTCGATCCAGAAATACTCCGTGCGCTGTGCCTCGCGGTAAAGCAAGAATACAACGTCGGGGGAGTACAGCACGGCCCAGCCCGCACAATAGGCTGGGTACATGCGCCCGGGGTACTCCAGGGGCGACACCCGCCATTTCGACCGATACGAGCGCTTCACGTAGGCGGAGGAGAACGGCTCGCACAGTATGAGGCGGCGAGCGCCCCACGGCGACAGGTCCTGTGCCAGAAAGTCGAGTAGCGCGGGGGTGTTCACGAACACGTCATCGTCCGTCTTGAGCAGGTAGCGGGCGCCGGGGCAATAGTACGCTGTCCACTTGAGCGCCATCACATGCTTGTACGTCATGTTGCGGTAGGAGTCGAGGAATCGTCCTTGCACGAGGTCGCGGTGCGTTCGGTTTTCCTCCTCGAGGGCGGCCTGATCGGCGGGCGACTGCACGGCACCCAATAGGAACAGCACGCGGTGAGCCCCGCGTCCCCAGGTCTCGCGAATCGTCCGGCGTTTGTCAACGTTTCCCGGCGCCGAGTGCACGAGTACCAGCAACAACAGCGAGTTCGACCCGTTACACGGGTAGTTGTTCAACTGGAAGGCGAAGTCCTTCACGTCGATCAGGGTGGCGCGGTCGTCGGGTGCCAGCTTGTGCATGGGGTAAGGCGGCGGTAGGGATGTGACGTTGCCGGGTAACAGCAGGAGGTAGCTCGGGGCGACGAGCTGGACGGCCAGATGTTCGGGACAGCTTGACAGGTACCACAGGAACAGGCAAACCACCGCTGTGAAGATGGCAGCCAGCAGCGGAGACGTGGGGAGTCCCGCCCCATACCGCCGCTTCTCCAGCATTCCTTCCCTACCAGCAGGCAGTCACAGCGCGCCTGTCGGGGACACAGAGATCATTACATTGACTGGCGAAATCTGTCTTTGAAATATCTACCTTTATGATCGATTTTAAGACGTGGATTTCCAAAGGGTGGAGTTAGACGTAGAAAGTTGACTGTAGTATACAAAATTTTGGCCGAAAAATCTGAATATAAACCACCTGGAAGTACCAGGTTCAGGTGGAAGGATAACATTAAAATTGATCTTAAACTGGTTGGGATCTTGTGGACTGGGTTCACTTGCCTCAAGGTAGAGAGGGACCAGTCACCTGTGAAGAGAGTAATGAGCCTTCGGGTTACATAAAGAATGGGGCGTTGAAAAACTACCTGCTTCTCAAAGAAGACTCTGTTCCAGGGAGTAAGATCTATTTAGCACGCTTAGAGTAGTAGCTGAGTCAACTCAGGAAATATCACTGTCATTCTAAGGAAATGCATGGCCGTCAGTGGCCCCTTCGTACAGGGGAGTCCGAATTGCATATCCCATCGCGTCCAATTAGGTATTATTATTATTATTTAGTGTTCTGTCAGACGACAGGTCCATATGAACAGGATCCTTCCATCCTTTTCTCGGACTGGGACCTGTTCATATACGTTCTTGGCAGATGATCCAGAAGTGGTTTGCCATTGCCTTCTTCTGGGTGTGAATGGAGTAATTGTTGGGATGCCAATGAGGAAAACTCCGTGTTGCCTAGGCCACGGCCTTGCCCAACACAAGTTATAAATGCGAACCCGAGACCCCAGGATTACAAGGCCAGCGTTCTAACCGCTAGACCACCTCATCTTATTATTATTTAGTGTTCTGTCTGACGACAGGTCCATATGAACAGGCTCCTTCCATCCTTTTCTCGGACTGGGACTTGTTCATATACGTTCTTGGCAGATGATCCCGAAGTGGTTTGCCATTGCCTTCTTCTGTGTGTGAATGGAGTAATTGTTGGGATGCCACGGAGGAAAACTCCGTGTTGCCTAGACCACGGCCTTGCCCAACACAAGTTGTCCAATTAGGTACGGACAATAAAATGTCAAATCAATGCGGTTATTTTAAACATTGCATACGCCAAGTTTTGGAATACAATTGTAAGTGGCAGCTAGAAATAGCATCAGCGCCACCCGATGACACTAAACGTTGTTGGAATTGCGAGGATAAGAAGCGTTTGGCCACAGCCTAAGACAGATTCAGAATTCATTGAAATGTAGGTAACTTCACGATAAAATGCTGTGCTCTTAATTTGAAACCCATCGGTAAGTATTCATCAAATCAATATCGTCCACATCACACAAACAGCCTTATTTCCTCCAGACGAATTCAGAGAAAGTGCCTTACAATAATCATGAATGATGAATTGGAAAGCGGCAATGGCCTTCCTAGGGGGACGGAGGAGGATGATTAAAAATCTTAGGGCCCAGATTTGAACCCGAGACCAGCCAAGACGTTCAATGTTACGCAGTGTAATCAGCTGGGTAATTTTTTATATTTATTCCACAATAATAGGTTTCAATATATAGCAAATTAACATTCAATTAAAATAGGAACACAAAAATCCAAATCCAAACTGGAGTACACTTCTTCAGTGTTGTTATGAAATGTTTTATTTTCCGGAAGATGGTTTATGGTTGGGCCCCGCCCAACGTAATTACTTCCCTTCGCAATTTGTGGTCTGAGAGCGAATTCGGCAGCCAACATCCTCTGGAATCGAAAGTCTCTAACTCATAACGAAGTCATCCAGCCGAAAGTGGAACCAGCGTCTTATTCTCCACACTAATGAAGGAGAAATCAGTCTACTTCTTAATTCTCCTCAAGTACCCAAGATCCATCTCCGAGCTGCACGGCCGTTCTGTATTAACATCAACCCTTTCCATGTTTAAAAAGGGATTTGTTGTTCAGAAACATCGAACACGTCTACTAAATATGAGTTTGTACGCTGGCTTCTGGTATCTGATTTCTTGTATGAGATTTGAAGTTCTTACAACGGTGAAGACGACGATGCTGGTCTTAGGGGTTTGAAAACAGTGTAAACGCTGAAGATGAACGCAGTACGTTGCTCCGAAATACTGATAACTACCCACAAGTTCACATTCTTAATTAGAAAAATAGTTCTCCTTCGGAAATCCGTTTAATATCACGAACGATTCCGAACGAGGATACAAACAATCACGTGCGTAAAAGATGAATTAGACGCAAGTTTGGAAAAAAAAACAGTGCACTACACACGTTTAAACAGTTTCCCTTAAAACGCACGACCTATCGACCACAGCTAAACTATCGATCTGGACCGATCGATGTAAACAGCTTAAATGGTTTGTAAGCCTGGAGATGGGTTTCTATTCCCAAGACAGCAAACGAAATTGGATTGAAACCACAATAAAGACACAGACATAATGCAATGAAATAAGACGTAATGAGAACCCAAAGTCTATAGATAACACAGATCACGTGGTGAGAGAATCTTCACCAAAGAAACAGCGTTTTGCGAAAAGCGAAATTATATTCATAAGAAATCCGAGAGTACAATAAACTTAAGAAATACAGCGATTTCACATCAGTAAATTCGAATTTCGAGCAATTTTTTTTCGCATCCTTTGCACAACGTAGCAGCAGCTGAAATTTTGTGGACGGTCGTCACTAGATGGGCTCTGTAGACGAGCAAAATTTCAGGTGAGGTTTCAACATGACCAACCGGACCTTTCCCTTGTAAGTATAACCCAATAGAAACATGAAATTCATCCAAGCGCTGTTTAAAAATCCTGTTCTGTTTTAGAATAGACACAGCGCGTTTTATTACAAAGATCAGTTCTTTAATACCGCTTAGGGAAGTTTATCATGAGTATACGAAACTCATACTCTGTGGGCAGAATGCGTTGTTATTGGATATTAAAACAGGTGGTACACATAGTTACCGTCGTATTTAAAGTGTTAATTAAAATGGAAGACCTTGATGAAAGGCGTCTTTAATCTCGTACGATTTGTGTCGGTTTTAATTTGAAGCGTCTGTTTGTTACGTCAGAAGGTAATCCACAAATTACTGCTACAACTAACGACTTCTCTCGGTCTCCTCGGGGCAACGGAAATTAAGCAGACACGGTTGGCTGCCCCTAGCAAAGGGCAATAGTAAAGTCCCAGTAACTACCAGCCTGAATAATGGCGCTCATGGTTACTAGGTAAGGAGAGTATCATGCCCCTGTACGGATTGCTATTATGAAGGTCAAGTCGTTGGAGGTCCTCACCGTTAAATGCTACTCAACATTTCCTGTGTTCAAGGTCTCTCTTGAGAAGTTAATAATTATTTATCTTGCCAAGAAATTTCTAGAGTTTATGAACGCAATGGTCCATCATTGTGTTCGCTAAGGTTCACTTTTGGACCGTACAGAGAATCTGTCCACGTCCAAGGCAGTGAGTGAACACTTCTCTTCATAGTGAGATATGTATTTGTCTCATACCCAGTCCCCCAAACATGCCGTGTTAGGTTTCCGAGAAAGCACAGTCAGTGTTAGTATATTTGCAATGTTTCGCCGTAGTCTCCTCCATCCACAACCTGAGTTCGCGCCGTGTCCTGGCGAAAAGAGACCCACGTGGTCCCGCAACATGGCCGCTGCGCGACGTTCTTAATGTACTTCATAAATTTCACGCCCCCTTCCAGAACGAGTGCAAGCAAACAGATTTGACATAAAATTTAGATATGAGTATACATTTTTTTTTTATAATTTATTATATATCATTCAAAGCATTTAATTTAAAAACTTTAAAAAAAAAATATATACGCTTCATACATGGATTAGTGGGATGGATGTGGTTGCTTCTGCGAACATAACTTTTCACACCCGAGGTTGGAGTTTTGAAATTGCCGCTCTAAGGTCGTTTTCCAGGTTCATCGTAGAACGATATTTGGTTTTGATGGCCGCCACCGCTGAACTGCCTCAACCAAGCGAAGGATATTAAAAATGTTTCTCCATATTTCGTTAAAAAAAATTTCATACAAACAACCCCCCCCCCGGGGGGGGGGGGGCCCCACACTTTGGGAACCTCTGGGCTAGTAGGAACGTTAGCAAATAACAGCCGAGCGGGGGACACTTCGTAGGTCATTATTGCCTGAAGGGTTGTTATGCCCCATACCCCGCAGCATTAGCAACTGTAGTGTTGTACTGGAAACGAAACTTCACGTTTGATTGCTGTTATTTTCATTTTATTTCGGGTGCTACAGAAAAGAAAATTAACGACTTGGCGAAAGAGTACATATAACGTTATAATATTTATCTTAAATACATATACATGGGGTTTAAGCTATTTAATATGTGTCTATTTTTTTTTAGAAAATACGTTTTATGATTGTATATTTCTACGGTGATGTGTAATTTATATTGTAAGATTTGAGGTTTTCACAGCGGTGAGTATGAAGATTTCTGTCTTCTGGGTTGTTGCGTGGT